ATTTACAATTTTGCTAATGTTAAAGGTACGTTTTCATACTCGAGTACAAACGAGTACATGACGGCACATGAAGTGGGTATGTAGATGAAAGCTTCTGAAATGCATCGGCATTTTCAGCTATGCATGTATACGTAATCATTCAACAATCTATAGAGGTGATTGATTAAAAAGACTGTTCCGGATAAATAAATCACATATTTTCCGCAAAGTTAGGATAAAAATTATGTGATATTTCAACCATGATGCCTGACTGAGACACTGGAGACAAGTATCTTGAAAAAAGGTCACAGTCACATTTATGGAACAATAAAACACTTTATTGTGGAAGTGTCCAAAGATTTTACATTTGTCATTGAAGCATGTTTTTGTAGTTTATTGATTTTACTTTAAAGTAACATTATTTCTTTAATTTTAAAGGCAAAAGTTTGATAGGCGGTGGGGGGGGGCTAAACAACAGACTAAAACTGTACACTTATGCTGTAAAATATACTTAAAAACATGTTATTTATGACAAATGAACAAGCAACGGTACAAGAAATGCCATGTAGCTACGTTTTTATACAAGGAGAATAATAATTATTGGGGTATGGTTTGTAGGTTAGGGTGGGGGTTAGTTATATTGACAACATATAAGAAAAATAGCGAATTTCAGCTTTATTGGTGGAGGAAGACCTTAAGTCCCCCTCCGTGCATTATTTCAGCAATGTGCATAAAACCTGAGTCAAATCGTCCCGTTAGCTTGCGGGATAATAAAATCGCTTTGAAATTTGCTGTATTTAGAGTTGTTGTTGAGATACATAAAGACGCACATACATAACTCGAAATAAATGCAAACAGATTTGGCTTTGATAATGTTTGAATAAAGCTTTTACATAAACAATACAAATTAATAAAAAAAAAAAACACTTTACACTTCAAAACTGCAAACATTCAGTTATAAAATCAACATTATCATTTTTTACAATAAAAAATGAACGAAATGTACTTAAAGTTGTCATTAAACAGTCATGGACTCTACATATACTTTACAACATACAGATTGGCTGGGATTGAGTGGGATTGAGTGGAAGTACACTTAAAAATACTGACCAAAGAATTGTCACTATTGGTTTACAAGTTGTTTTATCATTTATTTTACAACCAATCAAACTTCACTGTCGATTGTGATATCACAATTTGGTAGACAAACCACATGTTAATGGTAAGTTTATATTTTAGCTGACGTCTTAACGTATGATAACGTGTGATTGACAGTCATTGCTTCTTGCTTTGCTTGGTGGTTGACTTTTTTTTTCAAGTTCTTTTTTATTTATTTATGTGGCTTTTTTTTACATCACAGACTGTAGGTGAGCAACAATATCTTTTTCGCACAAGTTATTAAGAGTTTTGAATCAGATATACATGTATAATGTACAATGAACGAGAAATTTATGATACAGGTAGTTCAGAATCACTTGAGTATCAGGAATAATGGATAAAAAAAACATATATTTTAATGCAATTAAAACTTAAACAGGTTAAACATTGGATTGGACTACAATTGGCACACCTTCTGTCATTATTTCAAATATCGATAAAAAAACCAATTGTAATATATGTATCATTAGGATAGTCTTAAAAGATATTGCTTGAAAATGAAATGTTGATAACATTCTAAGTGATGTAAAAATGAACATTTACAGGATGAATAATAACATTTTGTCGTAAATATAAATATATGTAATATCGGATCATGTATCACACACTTGCCAACAACATCCATATATAATTCTTTTTTAGTATAATGTTATGTCTGATACTAAATACTAATAATTATACTTACAAATATTTATTGTATTACCTATCTTCTATTATAGACAAATTCACTTGAAGGGTATTCTTAGTTTAATGTAAAATAGAGAAAAACAGAATCCCAATAGAAAGCCCAACTAGACAAAAAATTTAAAATGTGCAGTCTCGATTTGATTGAGCCTGTTCATGGACGGTACTAGAAAGTGCAAGTTACCGTCCACGCCCCTGAGCACCGGCTTAAGCAGAATTTAACATGGCGTTTATATTGAATCAATTAAAAATAAAAAATAATTATATCACATTATTTCATCATATAACCAGGTAACACCGAATTACGGCAAATGCTACTTCGTGTGTAACAAATTAAAACATGTAATGGTTACATTACATTACAAACCAGTGGCATCATTTGATGAATCACGTTTAAGGGCATGAATAAGATAAAACTATCTACCATGAAAATAATGGGAGACTTGGCCTAATTCAAGATTAGATTTCAAATTGTATTTTTCACTTAATTATTGATACAAATAAATTATAAGGTAAATACAAGATTGCAAAGTTTGAAGCATAAAATCTCACAAACTATCATGGCTATGCTAAAAATTTACAAAATAAACAAATATGCCAACATGCTTGTCCTCATCACGAATATGTGGATGTAAATAATCTATTATCCCTCTAACAACACAGGACGTTACCTTTAACGCGGAAGTGGTCAGAATTTGCAAACGTACATTACTTACATTTATGGCCCGTTCACTCGCGTTAGATAGCGATAATTAGCACCATTAAACTGAAAGAACTGCACGTTTTAGGATAACTTTATGTAGTATTCGTTACTAGTATATTGATTATAAAATGTTATATCTTATACAATGGTATGTTTCGGTGTCCTCGATCTGTCGGTTTGGACCACGTAGCACACATCCGTTTCTTTAGCACTATACTTTAACTAATTTACCTTTGCTTCTTTTAAAATATTATGATCACATGCTGTCATTGATTTTGTCTCATATGGGCAAGATTTGTGTCCCTACCTATTGACTTAACACTCCTAAACAGTTAAACAATTTTGGAATAGGAAAATACGAAATTTAGTGTATTATTACGGCATATTATTCACTATGATACTATATTCAGTTTAAAATAAACACAAAACTATTCTTCACTTCACTTTTTACTACAAAAGTTATTTTTGGAAATGTTTGATTTCTTAGTAAAAGTACATTTTTATGAGGAAATGCATTTAAGACCGCAAGGTTGCTTGAGTATGTAACCTTGATTTTAGTTGTTAGATTCGACATAGTAAGCATATTGATATCAATATAACATTATATATCAATATGGTCATGCATGTACAAGTTGTTGAAATAATATTATATAAAAAAGTTTCCACACATGAACGTTTGTGTCTGTATGAAAGGGTATTACTTAAAGGACCATTATGCCTCAGAAATGCTTTAATTTCTCAAAAGCTTTTAAATTTTGATGTACTTTTTAAAGTGTCCTAAAAATTAGATTACCTGAACCATCTTTTTCATCTGTTGCTTTTTGGCAAAAAGAAAAGTTAGAGTGAATAAGTATTCAATATAGAAGTCAAAATACTTCTTCGTTTACATTTTTCTACTTTTATGATAAAATAATTAATATTTATCGCTACTTTCTTCAGGTAACAAGCATATAACATGCTCTTAAATCATTATCATAACATTATAAGTTAATATTTGTCCTTTCAAAAGAAGTAAAAATGTACTTGTTTCTGAGGTATAATGTGCATTTTAACACTTAATTACACGGATAAATAGTGTTCTGTTGGTGTTTTTTTTCTGGTAAAGATTATTCAAATAAAACATTAGTTATGAAAATCTTAAACATTTTGAATAAAGGAGCAAGCAGAGAAAAGTAGATCATGTACAGGAGAAAAGTGATTACAAACGAAAACTATAACCAAGCCTAGTCATTCTGTCATTTAGATGACTTAGAACTAATATTATTTTGTAATCAAAGAATAAATTGTTCAAGCGGTGTAATATCCAAATGTTTTACTGTCACATAATACATAGACATCATATATGTACATGACATTGCTGTCAAACATAAGTGAAAGAAAACCATCACTTGTCGTCAACATCATCAACAACAACAACCAATTACATAGATCGATTGGGGCACATCAAACTTAAAAGATATATACAAAAGATAATTTAAAAAAATACTCAGAAATAAACTGAAAATAAGATTTTTGTGCTATTATTGGCACCAATTGAGTATATAAAGCGTTGCAAAGCTTTGAAATTCGGGTCATTTTTACACTGATTAGAATAATTATTCTGGAAGAATGATCAGAAAACTTGCATAAAAGTTAATGATCTAGACCTACATAAAATGTAACATTAATCTCGAAAAAGAGTATTTCCAGTTCCGACATGTCAAAAACACCTCAATGGAGTTCCTTTAACGACCAGATAATTTTTCCTTTTATTAGAATGAAACGTAACAGATCTGAAAAAAACCGCTGGCATATGAATGTTCAAATTGATCAAAATAAAATATATCAAAGATAAATAAAAATGCATTCATTGATAGTATTACATAACAGCAATTAGTATATAAATATTAGTTAACATAACAGTTATATATCTGTATTTTAACCACAAAGTTATTCTAAATTTTCCGAGAAACCATACTTTTCAATACACATATATTGTGCAAATACATATATTCATATACTGAAAAAGAACACACAATCACTTTTAAAAGTGTTGCTATCTATCTTTTACTGAAATAACATTTTATATCAATTGCGGTATCAGACTAGCAATCTAAAGAAGATTCAACGGTTCATTCAGTAAGAAAGTTACACTGGGTGGTTGCAGGAAAGGATATTTGGTAGCATGTCTAAAAGCTTTCAATACAATCGAATATAAATTCTGTTTAAACAATCAAACTCATACATGTATATATAAATTCTGTGTAAAACAAATAATGTTTCAGTGTAATCTTCTAACGCCAAAAAGAAAAAAAATAATGATAATAAAACAAACAAATGCTACAAAAAACCTATATTTAGCTACAATATGATTAAAAATTGCTTTGATAAAGCTGAAAGATTTAAACAAAATCTAAAAGGTCAAAGGAACATTTAAGACAAATAGATATATTTGGCTCAATTCAACACTCATTTGTCAGTTTTCAATCATTCTTACCTTTTGACATTTCGCCATGTTTTTGTTTGTTATGATATTTGCTTTGTCGGGATGAATTTAAGTTTATCCATTTTAAAATTCCCACTTTTTTCAATTTTCTGTTTTTGATTTTACAATAACATTTTGCTAAAAAGGAAGATTAAACATTTTACTGCATTAATTTGATGTTGGTTGAAGTAAGTGAAAATACGTCACGTGACCATAATGTCTGTTACACATACCTCCGGCTATTTGAAAACGTTGAAAACCGGAAGTGACCGCTCGTATTTCCCTTAAACCGTCATTCAAAATAGAATATAGAGAAGGTTTGGTAAATATGTGACTGATAGGTTAGTAACTAATTGGTTTATGATGTAATTATTTCTTTAAATAGGTGTACACGAAAGGTGATTGTAAGTACAGTCAGGGTGTTACAGTTACCGCACAGTGTGTAATACAGAAAGTAGGATTGCGCATTCTCAAATGTCAACAAGTAAAATCGCTAAATTCAATGGTTGCAGTTAGTGTTGTTTTTTTCCTTAGTCATCTTTGCGCATTTACAATTTGACTAATTATCAACACTAAAGCGAAAATAGTTATACATGTTCTTTTTTTATAGATATGACTCTAATTAGCCGCCAAGCATGCCTGTGTATCTGGCGGTCATCCTGTATGTCATAATGTCATAACTTTTCAGCCAGATATGGGGATATCATTTTGCTTAATAGATAATAGTCAGTCACCATTTCTCTTTATCATCACAGAGTAAAAATAATCTTATCCTGAAAATCTTCAACATGCTGATAAAAAAAAACAAGTCTGATCTAATTAACATATATAATTTTTTTGTTTGTGCACATTTATCACGAAATCTGACATACGACTATATTGTGCGTTAAATTCTTTTAATGCATGTATATATACTGCTTTGCAGACTTTTAAATATTGGTACACTTTTGGCAAAGTTTTATGTCAAACATTGATATATTTTCTTTATATTTTTAATATACTGTATAGAAATCTGGATAAAGTGGGATCCCTCGCAAGCATGAATCGCAACAAAATTACATGAAAATTGATGATTCGGTTTGATTGAGTCTGTACATGGAGGACAATATTAAAGTGCAACATCCATCACGCCCCGTAGCACCGACTTGAGCTTTACTCTATTTTCAACATAAACTTAAATTAGAGACTGAAAAAAGAAAAGAACAAAATTCTTAAGCAGGTGATGATATGTGAAAAGTATACTAATAGCGATGAATTCTTGGCATTAAATGCTGCACAGAAATAGTAAAAAAATCGTTTGTTACAAATGATTGCAGATCTTGCCTATGAATTATGACAATCAATTGAATTGATCTATTAATTTTTGTTATTTATAATGTTGTTCAAAAGGGTATATTTTAGATAAGCTTTTTATACTTTTACAATTTATTATCGTTATTGTTGTTGTTGTTGCCATGATTATTGCAACATTTCTAATATCTTAGATTTCGACTTAAGATTCAGAAGGGAAAAGTAAAAAAAATATGGTCAAATCAATTAAATGGCGGAACAATATCCTACGTCAAAAACATAATTAACAAGCAATTATCATAGTATTGCAAGCAATCCATAAGTCCCCTACCGGTAAGGGCCCAAGCAACATTCTGAAGGGCCATTGGCCATTCACCTAGGTTCCTATTTTATGTAAATTTGTTAAAAAAGTTCTTTAAAAGTGATCACAGGAAACAGTTTTTATGTACAGACAGACGGACTGAAGGACACTCTAAAGTTATTTTTTAAACATCCCTGTTATCAAAATATAACATTTTTAAAATCCTTTCATGATTGAAGAAGTTGGGAGTAAAAATTACCAATTTCTCAAAAAAAAAAGTCTAAGTTCAAAAGGGGCATAATTCTGGAAATAGTCTTGCTAGAGTATTGAACACTCACAAATGTTGAGTGACAATAAGAAACATTTATATGAAGTTTGAAGTAGATACATTCAGAAAAAAGAAGTTATTAAAAAAAAACAATGGTTTTTCACAAATTTTAAGTTCAAGGGAGGTAATTCTGATAAATTTTGTGCTAGAGTTGTAAACCTTGTCACATATGATGTGGTTGATGACAAGCAACTTATATTTAAAGTTTGAAGAAAATACCTTAAGAAATAAAGAACTTATAGCGAAAAAACTAGAATCAGAAATCTTGAAATTCAGTCTATTTGTTGCCATAGCAACCAGAATTTTCAACATAGGAAGATAAAAAAGGATGTGCATAATTTCCATACTGCCATCTACCCATATGTCAAGTTTCATAAACATATTTTCAGTACTTTTTGTGTTATCACTGGATCCAGGTTATGTGTAAAATTTGCCATATTTTCAGTCTATTTGTTGCCATAGCAACCAGAATTTTCAACATAGGAAGTAAAGAAAAAGACGTGCATGATCTCCATACTGCCATCTATCCATATATCAAGTTTCATAAAAATATTTTCAGTACTTTTTGCGTTATCGCTGGATCCAGGTTATGTGTAAAATTTGCCATATTTTCAGTCTATTTGTTGCCATAGCAACCAGAATTTTCAACATAGGAAGAAAAGAAAAAGACGTGCATAATCTCCATACCGCCATCTATCCATATATCAAGTTTCATAAAAATATTTTCAGTACTTTTTGCGGTATCGCGGGATCCAGGTTATGTGTAAAATTTGCCATATTTTCAGTCTATTTGTTGCCATAGCAACCAGAATTTTCAACATAGGAAGAAAAGAAAAAGACGTGCATAATCTCCATACCGCCATCTATCCATATATCAAGTTTCATTAAAATATTTTCAGTACTTTTTGCGTTATCGCGGGATCCAGTTTTGTGGACGGACGGACTGACGGACGGACAGACGGACGGACTGACGGACGGACGGACAGACGGACAGACGGACGGAGGGTAAACCTAAAGTCCCCTCCGGTAAACCGGTAGGGGACTAACAAAATAAATCAGCAGCTCATCCCAAATGAATAAGCTTTATGTATGTGTCCCGTTAGGACCATCTCGAGACATATACATGTATAAAATAATGAAAGTACGATGGGAAAAAGTCGAAATTATGAAACACCGATCATAAAAAACTCGATATAATTTCGTGTTTTCACCATTGTACTTTCGGTCCTTCACCATCGTAGTTTCGTTCTTTTAACTTTTCGCCATCGTATTTTCATTGTTTCGAGTAATTCGATTACCCTAACGGGACACCGTATCTATGGCTTATTGTTTCAGAAAGGAGGTATTTTTGCATTACTTTCATACATATGCCCGTTTAAAATATAACTAATAAAAAAATAATTATGAAACCCGTTCACATATTTTGTTAACGAAACGAAATAAAAATGTCCACGAAATGGATTTTTTTTAAAAATGCATCGAACTAAATTGTCCTGCGTATGTGTAAATTGATTATATGCGAAAGGCTTACGCCTTCCAAAAAGAAAAAAAAAAGAAAAATTGGTAAAAAATTGTGATAGTTATGTATGAAATTAAAATGGCGGGATCTTTAATCTTCGATTTACAGTTTCATTATGACAAACATGATCGGTATGTATATTTTAACATGACATCATAAATTACTTTTTAAATTTGCAGCCTGAACACTTAAATCGTTTCAATTAAAATTTGCAAGGAAAAATGTTTATTGTCTTTTTGTTTTGAGTATATAGAATGTTTAGGTTTCGTGAAACGAGATACATAAAATTGCACCCCTTCTTCATAAAAGAGATGGGTAGGAGAGACTAATATACCAGTCATTTCCATTCCCGACCACACCCGCACCACTCCCTAAAAGCAGCACTGATTCCAGCACATAAGAAGTTGAAGATTGAATGCCGCTTAAGGCGTTGGGGGGGGCGTTATAGATGTTGCACTTTTTCATTATCCATGATTAACAGACTCAATCAAACTGATTCTGCAGTTTGTTTGTTTCTTTGTTTGTTTATTTTTTTCTCATTTCTTCCCGGGATCTCCTCTTTTCCGGATTTAATTTTTTTGACGTCTTCGCTTGGATAAACGCAGTACGATTTTGGCGCGAAAACAATTACATACATGCATCTTTCACCGAGAGGGAACACACAACAGTCCCTTATTTTCTACTCTAAACAACTTTTATTGTACTAAAATCATTAAGAAAAAATAACACCAATAGGTTCAATATAAGTAAAACGTATTCGAGTGCTTTCCAAACGTTGAATGACAAGATCCAAATCATATGTTACTACATAAATTACAGTGTTTTATGAAATAGCAGAGTATTATCATTAACACTTAAATTGTCAGGACCGACATTTATTTGTCATTTCGCGTGATAGGTTGTATCATTGTTCACTTTTATGTTATATACTTTGTGCTGCAATTGACCAATGAAATTGCTTCTTGTATAGAAGATGCGTATGATACACCTAAATGACAGAAATTGACGGGTTATCTTCCCCTGTTAACCGCATGTAATCACCGAATAAAGCATTGAGACATGATCATATATTAAGAGTGATATAAATAATCCGGAAGCAGCCGCTTGGCAGTAAATCGCAGACGGTGCAAACACGACTGGAATAATTCAAGGGTGTGGGATACTCAAACATCTAAAGATAAACACACGTCATGTCCCCCAGAAAAGTTTTTTTTATTTCTCAAAAGCTTTTTTTTTTCATTTTTGATGTCCTAATATAGTTTCAAAAGGTTTTTTATTGCCCAATTATCTAAACAATCTTTTCTTCTGTTGCGATTTGTCTATTATTATTAGTACTGTAGCTACGATAAAAAATTTTTTATGGAAAGTAAAATGCTACAATGGTTAAAATTCAAATCACTTTATATTCAGCACCACTTATATTGGGTTTTAAGCATGAGACGCGCAAAAAAAAAAACAATATTTAAACGTTCTTAAGGACTAACTGAAAAACAATTATTTATGGTAATTGATTAAAAAGGAAATAATTAAAAGCATCTCCTTGCAGAGATGTTAAGAAGAAAGCTTGAGGGAACCGAAAGTATAAATTGATAAATTAGTAGAAGAGCAGAGTTTATTTCATAACTTGTACACACATAGGTACATCGTTCTAACAAACATTTTAAAATATAATTTTAGGTCACATTATTTACAATATATATAGAAAAAAACAACATAAAAATACCAACAAACAAATCAATACAATACG